AACTCAAATGCAACACATGTGAACAAGCATTATCTGTATTTCTTAAAAAACACATTGCTTAAGTGGATTATAAAGCTTCTATTTGATGAGTTTACCACATGTCAAGCACTGTGTCTCCTTTAAAAATATTCTTACATTGAGTACCCTGGATTATCTTATGTTTAAAAGAGGAAATTGGTATTTAGAGAGGTTCATAGTTGGGCCAAAGAACATGGATTATATGAATATCATACTTATGTCTCCTTCATAATTTTTTCTCACATGGAGAATGTTTAATATCTAAGGGTCTAGGGCAGTGATATGATAAGAATAGGGACACCAGATGTTCACTATTATATCATATACACAAGATATGTTAACTCATTTCAATAATACCACAAAAGGAATGGATATAAGGATCCCACTTACAGTGCCTTGAATTTTCAGAGACATTAAGTAAAGCATGGGGAGTTGAATTCCTCCAACCTATGTGGATAATTGAAGATGCTGAAATCTTTACAGCCTTTTAGGTACAATAACAAACACTAGCAGTGATCCTAACACCCAAAGAACAAGCTTGCTACGAGGAAAAGAGCCTCGTTTTGAATCAGTGCTCTGCAATAGGTCACTCAATGACTTTGTTGATTTGCTAGTCTTACTCCCTTGGTATGAGGCAAAAGCAGTAAACATTTACCCGGTGGATACAAGAGTAGATAATGGATGTTGTAACCTTGTCACCTGCTAAGGGTATTTAGGAGCAAGATTTGCATTTAACTCAGTAGCATATTGTTTCACAACTTTCAATTGGACATTGATACTCCCAAGGGCAGCAGCACACACAGCTCTTTGAATCCGGGTGAACTGGCTTAGGACTTTCTCTTTCTGTTTTGCAGTTAGATATCCTTTGGTATACAGAGGAACTGTAGTATAGAGATGCAAAAGATCATGCTCTCTCTATAATATATGAGCTCTCTATAGTATAGAGATAGCAAAGATCATGATACCAAGTTAATGATCTCTCAGGATGAGTTCTAAATGACTTTTTATTCAGAAGATACTTTTTTGTAAGAGCACTATTGGTTGTATTAAATACAATTGTGTCTAATTTCCATGAAATTCCTGGCTTCAGTGTCATTGAAGACTGGCCAGGTGATTGGGTATCACCTTATGGTGGCAAAGGGTGAGGATCATGATCAAATATGGACAGCCAACTGACAGGCAGAAAAGTGGTTCTAAATTATGTAATGAAGTTTTTGAAAACTGGATTTTACAAGGACCTACACAGATGCACTTAGAAGATTCAAGAGCTCATTTCAAGTTTTGACAAAGAATGATTTCCCCTCTTTTGAGGCCCCTTGCTTCATCAATTACTAATTAATTACATACAATCAATAAGTAGTTGCTTGATCCTTAGGCAAAGCTTTCCAGAATACTTTTTTCATTCGATCGTCCTTGAATCTTTGCCAAGGAAGGTCACCAGCTGATTGTTCTGGTGAGCTTCAGCGTTTCCTGGAGAGAGCCTGGTCACCACAGGAGAGAGTCTCAGCAGAATGACCAGTGCCCGAAAGGTCGTCTCGATGCTAATTGATTTAGGAGATGTCTGCCCACCGTGGAGAGCGATTCTCCGGGCGAGCAGCATTGGGCTATATAAGAAAGCCAGCTAAGCATGAGCCTGTGCTAACCAGCCACCAAAGTTCTGCAAGGTTCTTCAGCTTTGGAGTAAGGGTGTGTGATGACAACGGAGCCTCTTAGAGCTGAACACTCCCCAGTCTTATTCTCTGTCCGCTGCCATCATGGGTCTCTGTGTTACTATCTACTGCAAGAAGACACTTCTCTGATGATGGCTGAGAGATGGCATAGCAATAGGTCATTAGGAATTGTTTTAGCCCTATGTCCATTGAACAGATAAAATCTAATAATACTAGATTTTACCTAAGGCTTATGCCCCAGCCAGCCATGGAGTTTGGTCCCAGTTAAGAGTACTATACATGTGTTCTTCTCTAGGAATCTAAGTTATTTGATTTTTATTTTCCTTGGTGCAAAACCACATGGGAAGCCACCACTTTGAATTTTCAAAGCATCCCGAATTTCTTGTTTTAAGTGTTGGGTGACTTTTAACACAGTTTATAACAAGAGATATGAACATTGCATGCCTGTGTAAAGTTGGCACCAGGAGTTCAAGGGGACAGTAATAAGTAGGTTTTGAATTATGCCAAATAAAGAAGCATGTGAATGGAAGCGAATCGTTGCATAAGTACTGGTTCAAATGGCAGTATGCTGCTCTGAAAACCCCAATTACATGACAGGAAAAGACATAAGTAAAGGCCATGCACAGGCCTGAAGGCATCCCTAAATGAAGCCCCTACATTCTCAATATAAGATTGTTACTCTCATATTGAATTGAAAGCCTTGCATATAGCCCCAGTACTTTCAATTTTTAAGTTGCTTAACTAAAATCATCTTATTAGCTAAAAATATGAGTCATTTCAGCTGACATTTCTAAAAACCATTTGTTTCTTACCTTTCTTCTTTCTTTTTTCTCTTTGTTTGTTTCTTTCTTTCATTTGTTTTCATCCATCAGACTGATCAACAAATTGTGTTGTCTTTGTGTCATCAGAGAACTTTCCTAAGCTTCCACTTCCCCTTTAACTGATTCTCCCCAGCCTGGAGCTTGCAGAGAAGAAACAACAGACTGTTTCTGGTACTAAGACATAGTTGCTTTGTAGTGCTACTTCTACACCCTAGGTCAACAATGGTGTCAATGAGGTTTATGTTTACGGAACTATGGCACCTGTTTGCAGCTCTACGTGGCTATTGAGAATTCTCCTGGCTCTCAGAATCATATACTTTGTGGTATCCAATGAAGAGAATAAAAATCAGTAAAGGCATGGTGAACAAAGGTGCCTATAGGTTCAGAGAGAGAGAGCAGGACAGTTAGAAAACAAAACACCTTCAGCCATTTACAAGTGCAAGTGTGTGCTGTGTGAGATGGTCAGTCCAATAACTATTGAAATAAAACTGAGAGAGGACAAGGTGGGACAGACAGACAAAGAAGAGGGAGGAGGAGGGATGGGGAGAATGTGAAATGTTCAGGGGGTGTTGTGTAAGAAACCTTTTCTGGGAGAGACAATGCCTGTCTCTACCCTTTTGAGCGTGAGGAGCCAGGACAGAGCAAGTGATGAGTACATCACTGCCCAGCTTGGAGGGAGCAAAAGCAGCTGTATTAACAAAAGCCCATCCCAGGCGACTGCATTCCTGTCTGTCGTCTACCCTATGCCTTTGTCATTATCTAATCTTCCTCATGCCTTTTCATGGTTGTATAATGTGCAACTTCAAAGGTTAAAAATGTTTTCATATTAAATAGTGGCATAAAGTTGGATGTGCCATTGTAAGCGAGACTCACTTGTTTAATCACAGCACCTGGCAGAAGTGTTTTGGTTTCCTGGTGTTTTGTTTCCTTATAACCTGTTCTTCAGCATATGTTTGGGTGCTGGTGACAGTGTGATGTTCTTGCTCTGACATTTCCCATCTCCGCACTGGGGAGGCTCAGACAGATTTAATCACCAGCATAGAATCTCAGATCTATATGTTAGATGGAAGACTGGAGGGAGATCAATTAAATGTCCACACATTTTCCAGTTCATATACACATAAATGCGCACACACACACACACACACACACACACACACACACACACACGAACACAAGACAATCTAGGAAGTTAGAGCTTCTGGACTCCTAACCCCTGTGTCCTATGATGCTTACAGAGATGGTTTAACATTCTGCTCACAATTATGTTTGCACATGAAGTGCTCCTAGAAGCTCAGGTACTAAGAGCATAACTCCATGCTGGCAGCATCATTTTTGGAACTTCTGCAAGCTCTTTAGGAGTCTGAGCCTAGCTGGGGGAAGTGGACCACTGTGGGTGTCCGTGGGATCTGCAGCCTCTCCCAGGCCCACCTGTGCGTCTCTGTCGTGAGCTGAGCCTCCTCTACTGCTTGCTCAGCCACCATGGAGCTGTGCCTCCCCACAAGCCCCAAAGCAATGGGAGCCCAGCATGTAACAGCAGGCAAAAAAATGAATCCTACTGCTTACTGTTGGGTATTTTTGTCTCAGTGACAAGAAGTCTAATTCACTTGCTAAACTTCTTGTATATTACAGCACATCTTAGTTTGTGTGCTGGATTATTAATCTCCTTGACTAAAAGTAAAATGTGTTTAGTTTTGTTGGATTAAGTATAAGTTTGCCAGCTGCTGTGAGGTAAAGCTGTTGTGGACATTTTGGTTTATGATATGTAAACATGTTTTCGTTTTAATCCCAAGTGGGGGATTTTAGTTTGTCCACACCCGTCAGTTGTCACCTATGGAGTGTGTTCTTTTCCAGCTGAAATCAGTTGAATTCTGAGGCCTTTGAGAGGTATAAATATGATAGCCCAGAGGACTAAGGCGCGGTGGCTTGGAGAAGGCAGAGGAGGACAGCTTGCTGCACTCGCTGGTTGTCTGGATTCTGGATATCCTACGACAGACCTTGGTATTGCCTCCTTAGATACTACCCAGCAGCAAGAAGTGAAAAAGGGCTGCATCCCCTCCCCTTATAACCGTCTTTCCCTGGGGAACCCCAAGTAGTGTTTGAAAACCTGCTGCCCACATAACGCCACAAAGGCGATGTTTATCTGATAACTACAGTACACATGACGGACCCTGCTGACCGACACTACGCAAACACACACAGAGACATGCGCACACACACCACACACACCAAACCAGAGGACTTCTGGATTGCAGCTGGCTCTGCTCCATCTGCCTTAGGGCCCCAAAAGAGGGACTTGTCACCAGAATGGGGTTGGAAAAAGGCTGGAGCACTGTAACCCTGAGACTATCTGAATTCCCTCCTCGGTCTCCGATTGGTTAAGATATAGGAAGAAGCAGCGCCCGGCCTCCCGCGGCTCCACTCGCCATTGGCTGGGAAGAGGTGGCAATCAGGGCTGGCCGAGGCTAGGGCACTAGCTCCTGTTCTGTGCTGCTCTGGGTGCGCTGTCGCCGCAGGAGTCGCTGTCTGGGTCCCTTCCGCGGCACCTTTGCGTGGAGGCTGCTCCCCGGGCTCAGGGCGCGGGCATCATGGTGAGTGCTGCCAGGGCGGTCGGTAGAGCCTTACACCTGGGTCGGTGGACCTTGACTGGCTAGAGAGCGGGCTGCGCTGCAGGAGCAAGCCCGAGGCGCACAGAGCGGAGGGCCGCGAGGAACAGCGCCTTTGGTGGGAGGTGGGGCGCTCGATCTGCTGGAGCGCTCCGAGCCTCCGGGTCCGAGTGGGTTCCCACCGCTCAACACCACCCACCTCCGACTCAGGGCGATCCTCGGTCCCGCGTGCCGGGTTAGGTGGGAGGTTCTGGGCTCAGGTCGCCGTGTGGTCCAGGTGGCACCATGGTGACAGGTGAGTAGGGGTAAGAAGATGGGGGAGGGGGCACTGGCGCCAAGAATCCGATGATACCGCAGATCCCCCCCCCGCCTTTAGGATAGGGTACCCCGAAAGAAAGCATAGCCAGAAGGCGAGTGACAGGCCAGGGAGCGGGGTGGGCGATCGGGTGGCAAGGCACGGGGCCGTGACCGCGGTCTTTCTCTGCCCTGCAGTACGGTTTCGTGAACCATGCCCTGGAGCTGCTGGTAATCCGCAATTACGGTCCCGAGGTGTGGGAAGACATCAAGTAAGTGAACAGCCCTGCTCCCAGGGCCGCGCGTTGGCGCTGCGCCCGCGCCCGCTTCTCTGGCTGCTCCCAGCAGGGTCGTGGTGCGCATCCTCCGGTCTCCCCGCTCCCACGCTCCGGAGACCGGACTAGGAGAGGAGGGTAGGCCGGGGCGTGGCCGCGTGAACAAGCCCCTTGAGGTCACTGTAGCCTCCTCACCCAGGCTGAGCGTGGGAACACCCAGCCAGAGCCCTGTGGCTTTCAGGCCAGGTTCGGAGGGTTGGTGAGCTCCCATGCTGAAGGGCCTGGGGACTTCCCTGACCTCTGAAAGGTCTTGGAACCAGAGGCAGGAAATGAACAGAAGATTTGCCGCTCCTTTGAGATTCACACCTAGTACCCATAATATGGTTAAATTACTTGGTATGGTACAGTAAGATTATTTCTCCAGTAATTCATTAGAAGCATGTATTTAACACAGGGACATTTCTCCTTTAACTTCCCCAAATCACCCTTGTTTTGCTGTGTATTCTCCTGCTGCCCTAGCAGGGCATCCTAGTTTCTGCAGAGCTTGGAGCCTGGTATTAGAATGAGACTGGAGAATACACCTATCTGAGATTTTAAGGCACAGGTCATCTCTTAGAGTTTTGTGGGTCGAGGCTGGGGGCCGGTGTGGAGGGTTGACTGGGAACTGAAGCCAGAACATTGTCCATGACAGGCAAACACCACAAGGTGCCCCTGAGCTACGTGGCTGGCCTTTTGAGGTTTGAGACAGGCTTTCCATATATACGGCATAGGCTGTCCTGAACTGCCAGTCTTCCTGCCCTCTCCGACTGCTGGCATTAGAGGAATGCGTCACTATGCCCAGCAGAGCATTACAATCTAAAAGAATTATCTTCCCCCCTCTCTTTCTCCCCTCTCCCCTCTCTCCTCTCTCTGTCTCTCTCTGGTTGAAACGCTAACTCTTGTATATCTGAGTGTTGCTACCAACTGTAGTAAAATCACACGCAGGAATCACAACATTCTAACTGGGTAGGGATAGTGGTGAGCATTAAGAACGGCAGAGGAGAACACGTTTTTCTTGTGCTCACTGACGTCACATGAGCCCTTGCTGTTTTTCTCAGCACCTTTTTATTAGCAATCAATTTCAACAGACCTTACTGGGCAGTGATAGGATGGTGATTTTCTATAATTGTCTGTCTCCATAGAAATGACCGGGTCTGTAAAGTAAGCAGCAGGCCCTCCCACCTTCCTCCAGCCCTCCCGGGTTTCAGCTCTGATTGATGTTCCATGCACCATTCATGTCACCCACATCTACAGTATCTCCTGGACACAGCTGCATCCTATAAAAAAGAAGGGCAGATATGGCAGTTACGATTCTGTCAAACTAAACTCTAAGGAGCGAGGTTGCTTTTGCGATTGCAATTTTCTTTTGACTTTATTCCTTCCTTCATAGTTTTGGTTTTCTGTGGAGACAGTTATGGAAAAGGCAGACATTAAGAACAAGCCCTTACAGGGTTAAGCCTTACAGGGTTAGGATATGAAGGCAGCGTGCACAGCCTCATGTATTAATGTTCCATCTTTAAAAGTGAAATCTCCAAATTTATGGTAGATAAACTATAACAATGGCTGTGTTTAGGATTTCAAGAGTACCATACCAGACTATGGTGAGTTAATAATCACTGTGCAAAGTTAATCAAACTTAGAACGCATATTTAACCATTATCAATGCAGGGAACCAGCAAACGTAGAGATCAAAAATTTTACTTCATAACTCATGGAGGAATGTAGCAACATGTGTATTTTTAAAATTAAATCATAAAGATATTTGTTTATGGTGATTATCATCTAAAAATACATACTGTCTCTGACGAGAACTTCCAAATGGTGGCTGAAAGTAGTTACCTGTTACTTCAAGTAATTTGTTACACACACAGACACACACACACACACCTTCCAAGTTCTTTCTGTGTAGCTCTGGATGAGCAGAAATTACCATGTCGATGAAGCTGGCCTTGTTCCCACAACAGTCTTCGTGTCTCTGCCTCTCATGTGCCTGGATTATAGACGTGTGTTCTCACCCTGAGGTACCCTTGAGCAATAGTCTTAAGTTGGTCTGGTGGTAATAATCCCAATCATCCAAAACACTTTGGTAAACATGAACGAGGTCATACGGATGGTTTTATTTTCTCTGAAATTACCATGATTTTGTGCCCTTGTACTAGAGAAGGAGAACCAGCATTGGCCACCCAGCTGCTTGTTTTCTCTCTTTAGGAAGGCATCCTTTAGTGGTGTCTCGGGTGCACTTTTGTATATGTGCAGGGAGTCTGGCTTAGCTCTTTCACCCAGAAGACCAAAACTGTTCCTTGCTGCCCTGCCTAGTTTCCCAGGACATTGCTGAATGCTTCCAGGAAGAGCATTTGCCTAATCAGCAGATGTTCAGAGGGTGAGGGAGATGTACCTACCAAAAGCCATGCCGTGAAGGTACCTCCTCCTTCCCAGCCCATTCTGGGGCACTCTCCGCATCTATTGGTCCAAGATGCTTTCAATTTTAACTTTTTATGGAAAACTGAATATATGAGGGAATTTTTATTGTTTTACCCTAATAAGAACCCAACTTTTCTATCTTCCTTTTTGATCTTTTTGTGTAAGTAAATACTTATAAAATGTCTTTAATGCTTTTTTAAGTTTAGTAGGAAGTAGGCATTCCTCTTTTATGACAAAGGAAGCCAAACACTTAATGACAAGTAAAACTCAATGTTACAAATTCCAGACAGAAAATTCTAGATGGCTAAGAGCAAAAAATACCTCCTTGTAAACTCGGTTCCCACGTACACTCTTACCAACAGCATCACCATTTCACAAGCGCTTTGTCTTTTTTCAGAAAAAAGAAAAATTGCCCCAGACCAAAGCCCAGAAAACTTCTCTTAAAGAGAGAAACAGAAAATATCTGTGTCTGTGACTAAGTCTAGCCATGGGTCATTGTGGATGTATCTGATTAACTCCTCAAATATAACAGTGTAAGCATGTAAACTTCATTGTTAGCTCCTGTACCAGGGAACATCTGGATCCAGTATCCTCCCTCACTCCTGATCTACACAGCAACAGAAGAGAGCAGGAATCTGATTTAGATATCGCTGTGTAAATTCTGAATTTCAGATGATCCTCTTAAGTGATGAGAAGAAAATATTCAGCATTCATTCATAAAATGTAATCAGACTTTATGCATATTAAAATATCATCTAAATGCTTGCTAGGTCCGTCTCTGTTATCATGGTGCCATCCTGGTTAGTCCTACAATTGCATTGTATCAGTGAGCTCCAAGATTCTCTGCCAACCCTGGAACATATATGGATTCTGAAGCTGGATTGAAAAGGTTGGAAATTCTAAGATGATTAAAAATCTATTGAAAACAAGTGATGGCTGAAGACGTAACTCAGTGCTAGTATCCAACACACTAAAGAAGACAACACAACACACACACACACACACACACACACAGATAAATCCATCTTTCAGAAAACTGTACTCATTTGCCTGCAGGTGAGCTGGCCAGTGTATTGATAACATTGTGTCTGATTTTTCCTAGAAATCAGAGATAAGTAATTAGATACAAATGTTGGTGTGAAAGCTATAACATTCATAATAATGTAATAGCTTTGTTAGTTAACAGATACTGTTGTCATTTTACTGACAGTCACCTTCCATGTGTTTTGTATGTCCTTGTTCAAGTTGCTACATACTTCATAGCTCTTCTTCTCTTTATTGTTAAGCTTATCTCTAATAAACATAGTTTAGCACTTCAGGCACTGAGGATAGAAAAGCAAATGATGTCATTGTTGCCTTGAAAAAGTCTAGAGATATCAGGATATTTTTAGTCTCATTTTTTTTTATAAAGCTTTCCTGTCTGTCACTCAAATAAGGAAATGGTTTGACTGTTGGATAGCACGTCCTGATCCTCCAGACTGAAACTCATATATGTGGTGTAGTTTGCTAATCATGAATGATATTAGGGCCCCAAGAAGCAAATTTTTTTAAACAAAATAGTTAAATGACTTCCCAACCTGCTTAAACTTTTGAAGTCTCAGCTGTATGTGTAAAAAAAAGAAAAAGGTAAGTGTTGGATTGTTGCAATACACTCAGTATTCCCTGAAAATGCTTAATGTGTTTCTTACATAGCTGCTGAAGTAATGCTGTTTACTGTTTTCCATTTCGCTCTGGTAACTGGGTTTTTCAACATCTTCCTTCTGAAGTACACATGAAAGATGTGAAGTTCCTTGAATAACAGTAGCCTGGTTTTAGGGGTATGGCTGAATGCTAGAAAGCCAGCCTAGCACTTCATACCCAAATAAAATACTAAGAACAATAATAGCCCATTGTGTCTACATGCTCTTCCACACTAAGTGTTTCCTATCACATTGCTGCGAGTCCTCGGGCCATGTTCCATTTCCTTTATCCTTATCCCGTTCAGGCACTGGCTACTCTAATTTGTCTTGAGTTATCTTCTGGCCTTTCTTCTTTCCTCTTGGTCCTTGTCAGCTTCCGTTGCCCTACTCTAAAATAACCCTCTTGCCATGTTTTCTGTGTCTGCCTTCTGCTCATCCTCAACATTCTGATGCCATAAGAAGATGATTATTTCACTATGCCATCTACACTGAATTCTGCAAACCACTCTGTTGCCCGTCATCTTTTCTGCTATTTCAAAATTTTACATATGCTCTTAATATTGGTTTTATCAAAACAAATTAAATGAAGCAAAATAGGGCATCCTCATGATTTGCCCTGCTTTGATGGGATTTTCACTTTCTTGATAGAATGAGTTAAATTTCTACATCTTTCTGTATCAGAGTTCAAGTAGGAAGAAGGCTATGTGTTTTAAAATATGAATGGCACTTTGTATTATAAAGCTACTTAACTTTCTGGAGCTGTTTCCTCCATGTATTTTCAGCTGAGTGCTGTAACATCTATTTGAAACAGGAAATGACTTTCCAGCTCAATGTGTTTGTCATTGTTGTCTTTTCATC